GAAACTAAATAAGATAAGAAGGGTGCAGGGGGTGGGAGTGGATTGCTATTATAAACATGTGGTCAAGGTAGGCCTTTGTGTTGGTATGAAGCTGGTTTTGCAATTTTTTTAAAAGATTTATTTATTTATGCATACAAGAACTGGGGTAGGGCCTCCCCAGTGGCGCAGCGGGTTGAGTGCCGCACTGTGAAGCTGTCCGCAGCCTCTGCAGTGCAGGTTCGATTCCTGGCCAGCCAGGGAGAAACTGACATGGCATGGCAGACCTCTCCTTTCTCGCCCGCTGTTCCTCTCAGCAATGTCTTTGATCGCTCTGCCTTTTCTGCTCCCCTGCTCTGTCTCTGGTGAATTCTCTCACCCTCCTGCGCCTCTGACCTGTACCCCAGTTCTTATATAAATAAATAAATCTTTAAAAAAAAAAAGAACTGGGGTAAAGGCCGCAGGTGCAGGGTGTGAGAGGATTCAGCAGAGACAGAGTGTGGAACAGAACAGGCAGATAGACCAAAGTACACTGCTGAGGGGAGCAGTGGGCAAGTCAGGAGAGGTCTGCTGCACTGTGTGGGTATCTCCCTGGCTGGGGATCAAACTCGTGCTGCAGTGGCTGCAGATAGCTTCATAAGTTGCGTCTTAACCCCTTGCACCACTGGGTAGGCCCTGGTTTTGCATTCTTAGAAATTTTTATGTGCTGTCTTTTAGCATGGGAAAGTAGGAAGAAGGAGTTGAGAGTAAGAATAGGAGCCTGCTGATTTGTTGGAGAGCATGAGTATTTCCTTTGTGTAACAGTGTCAAAATACACGCTAATGTAGGCGTGAGTTTTTCCAGATGGCCTAGTTTTATTTTGTCCAGTTGGAGCAAAAATCTCCCTTAAATGTTCTGTACACACCCTTGCGTTCCCAAGTGATGGGTACCAAATGTTGTCTGCTGGTCTGTGATTGCTGCAGGAGTCACCACCATAACTGACACCTCTGTCACTGGACTTCATGAACCCAGGCCTGTAGGGTTGGGATAGATGCTTTCTCTTTCTGTGTAATGGACACCCACTATTGTGAGTCCTATAGCGTTGTCCCTACACAGGTATGGCTATTTAAATGTAAATACAAATCAATTAAATAAATGACATTTAAAGTTCAGTTTCTGAATTTTAAGCCACATTTTAAGTGCTCAGTAGCCCGGTGTGACAAATGGCTCCTGTGTCAGCTCAGATGTAGAATGTTTTTACCCTTTTGGAAAGTTCTTTCACTATTTCTTACTTCAAAGGTTTCTGTCTCTGCCATTGTTTTTTGTGGAAGAGGCATCAGGTTCCAGACTTATCTCATCCTTTTGATTTGTTGGTTTTAATTGTCTATAAGGTTAAAACACCAGGTTTAGAATTTTGTGTGAAGTAAGAGTAGCCTCTAAGAGAGAACAGAATTTTATTTTTATGTTCAACTACCAGTTTTCATATCGGAATTTATATTTTTGCTCTGACTGCCCAAGGCCTTTCTGCTTGGCTTTTTGTGTGTGTGCAGTTGTACTCTGGGTGGTAAGAGAATCAGACTGCTGAATTACTGTGGGAGAAGTACTATCAAACTTTAAAGTTAAAAATTATACTTTTACAAAAATGCTTTAGACCCAGCTAATAGTTGCTTATTTGAAGCAGCACCATTCAAGGAGTTCTTGTTGACTGACTGCTGATACACATACCAAGAACTATGTTAGGCCCTCTATCACAGTTTAGGTGATAGAGAGACATAATTAGGCTGAATTTCATTGGCCAGTACCCAGATATGCCCAGGGGACTTTGAAACTCCAGAGGAATGTGATGCATAAGCCAACCTTCCCAGGGACTGGGTGGAGTGCTGGGGAGGACAATAAGACAAGAGGTCAGAGGTCAGGGAGTGCTCCCCAAAGGAGTGATGTTTAAATAGCATCCTGAGGGATAGATGTTAGTCATGTGATGAAGTTTGGAGAATGGGGTCAACAGGCATGATGTACCATAGTGTGGACAGAGTCATGGAGGAGCAAACTAGCATGGTGTGAGAATGCAGTTTTTTAGGCTTAGAATTGATGGAATTTAAAATAGAGGAGCCAAAGTCTGTAGAGGTAGGCTTGGAATGGAATGTGGAAAGGATGGTTGTTCAACAGCTTGAAAAGGCAAGGGGATGGTGAGTTAGGCCACTCTGACCCTCCAGAAGGGCAGGTAGTTCACTTTAGCAGCTCTATTGAGGTTAAATATGTGGAAACTGAGCTGGAGGCTGGGAGATCAGTGGTGGTAGGAGTGGGAAAGCGAGAACTCACTACAGTTCAAAAGAGAGGTGATACGTATCAAAAAAACAAGCAACAACAAATGTTGGCAAGCATGTGGTGAAAAAGGAAGTCTCCTACATTGTTGGTGGGAGTGCAAACTGTTCCAACCACTATGGAAAGCTGTCTGGAGTTTCCTCATTCTACTGAAAATGGAGCTACCATGCAACCCGGCAATTCCACTCCTAGGGATCTAACCAAAGGACACAAAAAATATTGATTCAAAAGAACACCTGTACCCCTATGTTTACTGCAGCACTATTTACAATAGGCAAAACCTGGAAACAACCCAAATGCCCAAAAATAGCTGTCTGGATCAAGAAGATGTGGCATATATACACAACGGAATATTATTCAGCAATCAAAAAAGATAAACTCATGCCATTCACAGCAATGTGGATGGAACTAGAAGGAATTATGCCCAGTGAAATAAGTCAGAAGGGAAAAAAAAAATCAGATGGTTTCACTTATAGCAGGAATATAGGGGAACCAAATAAGACATCAGTGTAAAAAAATAATAACAGTATAAAACACAACAAAGCAAAAATGGACAATTATAAATCAGAGACATCCTGCAGGGGAGGAGGAGGGAGAGGGATGAGAGGGAGGGAGGGAGGAGCACAGGGGACTGAGGTGATGGTGCACGGGTGCATTGGTGAAGGAAACTCTATGGGGACTCCACCTGAGGGGGTGGGGGGAAGCAAATGTTGTTTGAAAATGAACAATGATGTAAAAAAATTAAAAATTAAATTAATGAAAAAGTTAAATTAAAAACAACAACAAAGAGAGGTGATTAAGGCTTGATTCAAGAGAGCGTAATGGGGGTGGAGCAGAGAACCTAAGTATTTAAGAGGTACAATTATTGTATCTGAGGACTGCTGAGACATGGAGGTGAAGGAGACAGGAATCAGGGACTAAGCTTTCAAGAAAATAGATTAATTTGAGCCCCGCTTCCAATTTCACACTAATAGGTTTTGATCTATAACTGCTACTAGTGCTTTGCGTTGGCAAATGTAGTACCTAGGTTAGACTTTGGCTCTTCAGGACTCCATTACTCTCATTTGTTAAAAGAGCTTGACGTATAGACCATAATAAAGTACCACCCTCATATGACTTTAATTTTGTAGTGGTCTATGAAAATTTATAGAAATTTGGCTTCATTTCTAGTGGCTCCAATCCAGACACCAAAATTACCCATTGCTAGGATATCCCTTGGGTGGACCACTGAACCTGTTATTCATTAGGAACAGCTGAAAACCATCAACAGAATTCCCATCCTATGCCAACAATAACGCCAGTCAAATTTCAAGGTAACTTCAGGTTTTAGAAAGTTATGAATCTCAGCATCTGTCTAGCTAAAACCCTTATTTGTATTTTTACATATATTTATCATGTGAAAAAGCTAGTGGGTTTTTTGCTTTCCATAATTGCACTTTGCTTTTTTAGATTATAAATCAAATTCTGAGTTCTGAATGTTGGTGGAGACATGCTTATGGTTCTATATTCAATCACTTTAAAGTAAAAGTACAAATTTAGTCCGGGTGGAGGAACCAGACCTAGAAGAGGAACCAATCCAAAGGGTCCGTTATGATGGGCCCTATATAAAAATCAGGAATTCTCTTGTACCTGCAATGCACTTTAAAAGGATTTTCCAAGTAACAGTATTTTAATGATGTCTTTTAAGGTTTCAGAAAGAACCCACTCTTCTGGTTTGCAAGATTAAGGAAGTATGCCAAATAGATGTTGATACTTCAGTTTTTACTGACTAATTTCATGACTGCATGGCTAAAGTCACAGAACAGTAGGTGCCTGCCACTTTCTTTCAGATTTTTATGTTTAACCACTGCATCTGGCCTTTGTTGCTAAATATTTTTTCCTTGTCACTAACTGCTTCATCAAATTGGATCTTCAGAGGTCTGGCATCTTTGAATGACTGCTTGAAAGCTGTGAAGCCCTGTTCCCTCATCAAGATCTGGATAGTCCTGTGCTGTGAGGAAAGATAGCATGTCTCTCCTCAGTGGCACAGGAGGATTATAAGATAGTTATATATGTCTTCAGAGTTTTTATTTGAAGAATAAGTGATGCAATTGATGACGAACAAATACAGTAAATTGAGAAACATGAGAAGTTTCCATATCCATGAATGTATTTAAGAGTGTTTTCTACAAAGGAGGAAAGAAAACAAGCTGACTTTAATTTACATTAACCATTTGTTTAAAGTCGGATTTATGAAAATTGTTGACTTCTAAGAACATTCATGAACTGTCATCTTTTGTCTGATGTCAGTGAATGTTGTTTAGCAATATATAAAAATGGTTTTATTAAAAGATAAATGTGTTTCATTAATCCCAAGTTGCACTTTCTGAAATGGCATTTTCATTACAAATAATTAACATCAGTCTGTGAAACTCATGACTTCTTAGGGTGGGAAAGAAGCAGGGGAAGGCTATCTTTTCAAGCAATTTATGATTTAATACCAGCTGGTCAAGTGAGTTGAAAAACCTTATGAGTCATATATTGTATTATGTTGAATGCCTTTTCACTCTTGGGAAACTAGTTAAGCTCTAAAGTCTTTCGCCCATGGCAAATGACTCTAAAACTTTGATCTTTTCAAACCAGTTTGCCAGATGTAGCAGACTGAGCATGTGTGACCTATTGTGTGCCAATTCAGCTTGACTGATTGGAAACCATAAGTTATCTTGTATGACTTTTATTTCTAGGCATTACAGCAGAAGTTCTGGTGGTGACCTCTTTCGATGAGCTGCAGAGAAGGGCCCCAGAAGCCAGAGGGAAGATTGTTGTTTATAACCAACCTTATACCAACTACTCACAGACGGTGCAATATCGAGTCCAGGGGGCCGTGGAAGCTGCCAAAGTGGGGGCCTTGGCATCCCTCATTAGATCAGTGACTTCCTTCTCAATCTACAGGTTAGTCATGATGTTCATTTGAAATTCTTTCAAACACCAGCCTTTTCCATGAAAGAGAAATACTCACGTAATAAAAACAAACCATTCAAATGAAAATATTGGTTGTTCATGGAATTTTCCCCCATTCCACATTTGGTCATTTGTAATATCTTCTTCAGCTTTTCTAGGATTCCAAGCATCGCTTGTACATTCCTTTAAAAAGTTTTCCACATCACTGATGATCCCATAACATTCCTTATATAACGGATATATTGTTATGTATTTTCATTGAAGGGAGAACTGAATTCACGTCTGTGTTTCATCAAAGATGCTTAATGGCTTCAAAGGAAGCCAGGCTTTTTCCATTGTTGTTAGAGAAGTGAAATAAAATTAAAGTGGCTGACATGATAGGGGCCATTGACAGTGCAGTGGAAAGAGTTGAGGAAGCAGAGGACCATACAGACCTGGTCTGGTCCTAAAAGACCATGTGGCCTTGGCAACACTCCAAGCTCTCTGGGCCTCAGCAATCTCCTCTATTCATTGGTAATGATGAAGAATAATAATCTTACAAAAAATTGTTTTAATATTAAATGAGGTAAATCTATGAAAGATAACTGTAAATGTTTGGGGGTCTTGTTTGAGAGCAACATGAATTTTGTCTCTTTCTTTGTAGTTCTGATTGAGGTAATTGCCAAGTGCTTCATTAACCCTTCTTTGGAGGATGAAATTCATCTTTGTAGTGGATAAAAGTTCTAAAAAAAATTACCTTTAGACATCTGGCCTTGTTTAATAGCTACATATGAGAGTGTAAAACATTAAGGATAAAATATTTGAGAAACATGGATAAAGAAGCACCATTTAGATTAAAAAACCACATGGCAAAATAATTGCAAATAAGGTTTATCTGGGTGTCCAGATTAGATCTTTAATATCTACAGCAAAAGTAGTTTATTTCATCTGTACAATTTCTTTTTGAAGCTGGAGACACAGATGCTTGATCTTAATTAAGCACCCTGCACCTTGAAAATATAATCACTGAGGAGGAGACATCAGTGATTGGGAAACCAAGTCAGAGGAGTGTTGTCTAAAAGGTCAGAGAAAAGGAAAGAGATAGTTTTCTTTCATGGGTATAAGGTATCTTCCCATGGGAGGGAGATGGGGCTTGTTAAAATCACTTGTTAGACAGTTTAAGAGAGAAAAACTAGTTACACTGATGTCACAGTGCTAAAAATAATGTTCTTTGTAGAATCTTTAAAGGTTTCGTGACTATTGAAATAATGATTGGACCATATTCTTTTGGGTGGTTGGTTAATCTTTCCAGGAGGGAAGCACTGGAATGGCTAGCTTGCTTCCCAGAATACCTCATCACCCCTTAGGAAAACATACTCAGCAAGCTGTGGCCATTCACTGTGATTTCACTGGTCATGGGATCTAAATTATGGAGCTCGTCTGTTGCTCTGTGGAACTGAGTGATTGCCAGAAGTATTTATTTAAGAACTACTACTCATAAGACTAACAAATTCCCAGATGACTTAATGCACAGCAGTCTGCCAAGGTTCATTGGCATGTTTCTTTTCTGCTGGAATGAAGACATCTGGAAACCTAGGCTGTACCCTAGGAGCATCAGAATAACTTTTTCGGGAATTGGACTTAGAAATCGATTGTTAACCTCTAAGATTTGGGGTCAGTAACTTGTAGCCTGTATTCGAAAGACATTTTTCCTAATATTTCTAGTTCTAGGCTGATTATAATATTTCATTGATTTTGTAGCCAACCATATTTCATTGGACTCTGAACTTTTATAACTCCACCATTTATAAATATTTAATAACATTGCCCTTTACATAGTAATTCAGAAGCTTTCACACATGTCATCTGTTCAAACAACATCTCAATGGGCCAAGCAGAAGGGGCATTATCATCCCCATTTTATAGATAGGGCAATGAAAGTTCAGAGAATTCAGCCCCTCATCCTGAAAAATAAACAAACTTGTTATTTTTAAAAAAAGATATTTTAGACGTAGTTTTGTTTCATGCTTTGGTAAACTAACCTTCTGGCAAACAACTTCAAATTGTAGTCACTTAAAAGGAGTTGATTTCAAAGAATAATCAGTAACTACTATGAACAGTTATATGGAAACAAGTTTAACAATCTAGAGGAGATGGACAAATTCCTGCAACTCTACAATCACCCAAAGCTAGATAAAGAAGAAATAGAACACCTAAACAGACCAATTACAATTAGCGAAATTGAAATGGTAATCAAAAACCTCCCCAAAAACAAAAGCCCAGGACCTGATGGATTTACAAATGAATTCTACCAAACATTCAGAGACGAATTAGTGCCTATCCTTCACAAACTCTTCCAAAAAATTGAGAAGGAAGGGACAATACCAAACACGTTCTATGAAGCCAACATTACACTAATACCAAAACCGAACAAGGACAACACAAAAAAGGAAAACTACAGGCCAATCTCCCTAATGAACACTGATGCAAAAATCCTCAATAAAATTTTAGCTATCAGAATCCAACAATGTATCCATAAGATAATTCACCACGACCAAGTTGGATTCATTCCAGGGGCACAAGGATGGTTTAACATCCGAAAATCAATCAACGTTATCCAACACATCAACAAAAAGAAATATAAAAACCATATGATAATATCAATAGATGCTGAGAAAGCTTTCGACAAAGTGCAACACCCATTCATGATAAAAGCCCTTGAAGTTCTTGGGATACAAGGAACATACCTCAACATCATAAAGGCCATCTATGACAAGCCAACAGCCAGTATCATTCTCAATGGTGAAAAGCTGAAAGCAATTCCATTAAGATCTGGAACAAGACAAGGATGTCCACTCTCACCATTGCTTTTCAATATAATACTGGAAGTCCTAGCCAGGGCAATAAGACAAGAGAAAGACATCCAAGGAATCCAAATAGGAAAAGAAGAAGTCAAACTATCACTATTTGCAGACGATATGATATTATACATAGAGAACCCCAAAAACTCCACAGAAAAGCTAATTCAACTCATCAATCAGTTCAGTAAAGTGGCAGGATACAAAATCAACACGCAAAAGTCAGTAGCCTTCCTATACACAAACAATAAATCTGAAGAAGAAGAAATCGAAAAGACCATCCCTTTTGTTATTGAAACAAAAAAAATCAAATATTTGGGAATAAATCTAACAAAAGAGGTAAAGGACCTATACAAAGAAAACTATAAAACACTGTTAAAAGAAATAGAAGAAGACACAAAGAAATGGAGAGACATCCCCTGCTCATGGATTGGAAGAATAAACATTATTAAAATGGCCATCCTTCCAAAAGCAATATACAGATTCAATGCTATTCCAATCAAAATTTCAATGTCATTCTTCAAAGAAATAGAAAAATTATTGATGAAATTCATATGGAATCACAAAAAACCCCGAATAGCCAAAGCTCTCCTGAAAAAAAAAGAAGGGAATGGAGGCATCAGACTCCCAGACTTCAAACTATACTACAAAGCCATAATCATCAAAACTGCATGGTATTGGAACAAGAACAGACATACAGACCAATGGAATCGAATAGAAAATCCAGAAATAAACCCACAGATTTATGGTCAACTAATCTTTGACAAAGGAGCAAAGACTATGCATTGGAGCAAAGAAAGTTTGTTCAATAAATGGTGCTGGGAAAACTGGGTCGCTACATGCAAAAGAATGAAGCTTGACCACCACCTCACACCATACACAAAAATCAACTCAAAATGGATTAAAGAACTAGACATAAGACCTGAAACCATAAAATATATAGAAGGAAATATAGGCGAAACACTACGTGATTTGCACATCAAAGACATCTTTACAGACACATCACCCAAAGCAGTGATAGTGAAGGCAAAGATAAACAGCTGGGACTATATCAAATTAAAGAGCTTTTGCACAGCAAAAGAGACAATAACAAAAACAAAGAGAAACCCCACCAACTGGGAGAACATTTTTGCACCCAACACTAATGATAAAGGACTGATCACAAAAATCTGCAAAGAGCTGATGAGACTCAACAACAACAAAGAAAATAATCCAGTCAAAAAATGGGCAGAAGAGCTTAAAAGAAACTTCTCTGAAGAGGAAATGCAAATGGCCAACAGGCATATGGAAAAATGTTCAACATCACTTGTCATCAGGGAAATGCAAATCGAAACTACCATGAGATACCATCTTACACCAGTGAGAATGGCACATATTAAAAAAACTAGCAACAACAAATGTTGGCGAGGGTGTGGAGAAAAAGGAACTCTTCTGCACTGTTGGTGGGAGTGCAAACTGGTCCAACCACTGTGGAAAGCTGTGTGGAGATTTCTGGACCTACTAAACATAGAGCTTCCATATGACCCAGCAATTCCACTCCTAGGTATTTACCCAAAGGACACAGAAACATCAATTCCAAAGAACACCTGCACCCCTATGTTTATAGCAGCACTGTTTACAATAGCTAAGCTTTGGAAACAACCCAAATGCCCAAAAATAGATGACTGGATCAAGAAGATGTGGTACATATATACCATGGAATATTACTCAGCATTCAAAAAAGATAAACACATGCAATTTGCTGCAACATGGATGGCGCTGGAAGGGATCATGCTCAGCGAAATAAGCCAAAAAGAAAAAGAAAAATACCGGATGGTCTCACTCATAGCAGGAATCTAGAAAACTTAAATAATGGACCAGGAAAATGAAAAACTATAAGAAAGTGAAAATCAAAATCAACAAAAAACTATGAACCAGAGACACTTTTAGGGGGGCGGGGGCGGGAGGGGAGGGATTGGGGTCAGAATGGGGGGCGGCAATTGTATGGGGAATATAACAATAAAATTTATAAAAAAAAAAAAAAAATAAAAGGAGTTGATTTCTTGCTCATGTAATATTTCCAAGAGGGTGTTCAGGAGGTGGCTTTCTGCTGCTTTCCAACTTGTGGTTCCATCACCTCCAAGATTTCAGAGTCCTCTGTAGGATTTTCAGGAT